TCATTTTCTTTACCTCTCTCAAAACTTTGTCCCCAAGCCTAGAATTAAGGTACTATGGGCTTTATCTAGAAAAACTTTCTTTTCCTTTTCAGTTAAAGACTCTGGTAAACTGTCCTCACCCTCCAAGGTAGCTGACAACCCATCTTTAAATAAAACAACTCTCATTTTCATCTTTCATAATCCATAATCACTATCACCTATGAACTTTTCTATTTTGAACTTAGACATATCTAGGTTTACTACTTCTTCAGTTACCAGGAGATTCAAAACCCCAAAAAAATTCAGGACCTAGAATAAACCCTAAGTCAAGAAACAGTAACCAAAACTTAGATTTAACCTAGATAATCCACAGTCGAACAAACCCTAACATTCAGACCTAATCTAGCTCTGATACCAGTTGTTGAAATTTACAGGTTGTCCAGTTTAGAAAACCTAAGTTCTAAAGTAACCAAAACATTCACAACAAGCTAGAAATATAAAGAAATAAGAGCATGCACACAGATTTATAGTGGTTCGGTAATCAGATTGATTCCTACATCCATTCTTCAGGGTAGTAGAAAACATGCACTATGAAGAGAAACCTTACAGAGTTTGTAAGTTAGTTTTACACCAAGAATCTAGTGACAACTCCCCTCTGTAATCACCCTAGATTGCTCCCATGTGTCTCACACCTCTCACACACAAATATAACATTGATCAGTAATTTATGCAAGAAGAAAGAATAAAAATTAATTACAAGAAATCTCATCACCATCGTCGATCTCATCCTACGAACACCAAAGCTTCACCTTGATGATTCCCTCAACAACTTTTTGTCTTTTGTAACCAAGAGAGAACAATCAAAGAACAAACAAAAAATCCCAAAAGAGAATTTCCAGAAATGTCCCTTTCTTTCTTCTAAATTACCTCTGACCAAAGTATAAAAACTTTGACTCCACATAAGCATAAATTGGATGCCACATTAGCACAGAGATATATGGGAAACTGTTGCGGGAAGTGACCTTGTGTTGCTATTGATTTCCGATGCTGCACAAGTTGAGCAACCCTTTAGTATTTCTTCAGCAATGATTCAATTTTGTTGAGCAATCCTATTACATTCAACTATTATTTATTGTGCCATTGTTTATTGCATGCATGATATAGTAGTACATTAAACCATTAATTATATGCTTTATTTGGTTCCAAAAAATTTGGAATTGGAATAAAAGGTTATAATTCCAATTCCAATTTCAGTTTTTGAGTTTGCTCTTAATGAAGGGAGAATTTATGATTTGTAAAGACCTAATTCCACTCAAGTAAATTGTTACAGCCTAACACAGCCTTGATTGATTCTTCATGATTGTTTTATTATAAAGTTGATATCACTCATTTTGATCTTGCCCAGTCTACTGCGCAGTTTTGCTTTTTGACAGTTTTGCTTTTTGAAAATAGTGTGTTTCAAGTTCTTAAAACTTATAAGATTAAGTACAGACTTTCTGAACCAATCTATTATACTGTTTTTACAAGTTTTTTCATTTTTGAGAATGTGACTCTTCAGACTTCAACAATAGACTTCAAGGCTGGTTTTCTTCTTTCTTATAGTTAAATACTGGATGGCTTACGCATTTCTTATTCATTATATTTAGGCACGTTTGCTTTCAATATTTTATATATTGTTTGTTTCTCTGCTATCAGTAGTTTTTTCCTATATGCTGCAAGCAGATAATTATGAGAAGATTTTCTCCCACATGAAACCAAACAGCATCCTTGGCCTTTCTCATGGATTTCTTCTTGGTCATTTGCAATCCCTGGGTCTTGATTTTCCAAAGAACATGAGTGTTATTGAGGCTTGTCCCAAGGGGATGGGACCTTCTTTTAGGAGACTGTATGTTCAGGGTAAAGAGATAAATGGAGCTGGAATAAATGCCAGTTTTGTTGTACATCAGATCTCTCTGTCTTTTATCTATCTTGCCCTCTTTGTTTCCCTTAATATGTTTTTGTTATAACAATCAGTACCACTTTTAAATCTGTGCCCTAGTGAAGTTTATGAATGTTTATTCTCTTGTTTTTTTAGCAGGATGTTGATGGATGGGCTGCAGATGTTGCCTTGGGCTGGTATGTTACCTTTGGATCTTCGTTTATCTTTGCCACCACATTGGAACAGGAGTACAAGAGTGACATATTTGGGGACCGGGGTAAGCTTGGTAGTTTATGTGATTATTTCAACTTTTTTCTTTCATTTACAGTATTCATAGTATTTCTTTATACATTTATTTTGTCATGTAGGCATATTACTAGGTGTTGTTCACGGTTGTGGAGTGCTTGTTTAGAAGGTACACCAAGCTGGAATGAGTGAGGATTTGGCATACAAGAATACGGTTGAGTGCATAACAAGAATTGTATCAAAAACTATCTCAACAAAGGTAGCTTTTGTCTTTCAATTCTCTCTTTTTTGAATATGTGGATTGTTCCATTGGGAGAAAATGTACTTATTATGAACTTGTCGATTTGTTCGCATGTATTTGTTTTGATAGGGCATGCTGACTGTGTATAACTCATTGTCGGAGGATGGAAAAAGGGAATTTGAGGCTACATACAATGCCTCAAATTATCCTTGTATGGACATTTTGTATGAGTGTTACGAAGATGTAGCCAGTGGGAGTGAAATTCGCAGTATTGTTTTGGCTGGACGTCGATTTTATGTACGTTGATTTTATTTGTATAGACGTTTTGTATTTTTTTATTCATTACTTAAAGCTTAGTAAATAAGTTGTTGTTGGGTGGTTGATTTTACTTGTCAACAAGAAAATGAGGGTCTACCAGCTTTCCCAATGGGTAACATTGATCAAACTTGGATGTGGAAAGTTGGTGAACGTGTTCGAGCAACACGACCACAAGTGACTTGGGTCCATTGTATCCTTTCACTGTTGGGGTTTTTGTTGCACTTATGATGGCTCAGGTAATAACTTCATTGTCACTTTTGGATCAATCTTCTACATTCTTATCCAATGTTCGTGGTTACAACAAAATGGATATTATGCTTTGGATTCTGTGCTTAACTACCTACCATTTGTGTATGCAAAATTACAGATTAAGGTATTGAGGAAGAAGGGGCACTCATACTCAGAAATAATTAATGAAAGTTTGATTGAAGCAGTGGACTCTTTGAACCCTTCTATGCATGCTCGAGGAATCTCATTCATGGTTGATAACTGTTCCACAACTGCAAGGTTGGGATCAAGGAAATGGGCCCCAAGATTTGATTACGTCCTTACCCAACAAGCTTTGGTAGCAGTTGATGCAAGGACTTCTGTCAACCAGGACCTCCTTAGCAACTTCCTGTCTGATCCTGTTCATGGAGCCATTGTAGTTTGTGCTCAGTTGAGACCAACTGTTGACATCTCCGTGCCCCCAGATGCAGATTTTGTTCGCCTTGAGTTGCGCTAGTCTAGCAGTTAGATTCAAATGGATTTATCTTTGCGAGAATGCGTCTTATGAGGTCTAGGAGTGTGGAACTTTCTTTTAGGTAGAGTCCTATGTCTTGTAATGTTTTCCGTATTTGTTATGTTTTCCAGCAAACGTTAAGATCTCCTTTAATTTGATATTTTGTACTCTCCTTTGTCAGATTGTTTAAGCAGATTAGGGTGAATAAACACTATCTACATTTAGGCTGCCAATTAACAATCATTGTATTACTCAATGTTTCAATAACCAACCTGAGGTGAAACCTAGCAAAGTTGCTGGGTCTCGAGTAGACTGGTTTGACCAGCCTGTCAAACTGGGTGACAACTTTTAAAATTCAGCAAATACATCCTTAAAAATTACAGTCTCTATATGGGTTTGAAATTTAGCAATCACATCCCAAATACAAATCGGCCAGCGACTGGTTGGCAACTGTGACATCTTAAATGCAATCCCAATCATCCTTTGAGCCCATTCCCCAGAAAATCTACCCAAGATTTGACAGAAATTGGTTCGATTTTGGCCAGATCACACTGATGTTGGTGTCGACATTCCAAGCAAGATCTCACCGACGTCGACGTCGATAACCCTCCCCATCACTTTGAAGGCACTCCCCTCTTCCTTCCAACCAAAACCCACCTTGCCTCACCCCCGTTAACCTCACCAATCGTCTGCAAAAGTTGGGTGTTGTCATTGCTTTTTTTTTTCAATTTCTAGTTGATTTACTCATCGAAAATCAACTTCGTCGCCACTATTGCAATCACCGGCACTTTCTTTTCAAAAGCTCCAACATCCCAGCCTTCAATTGTTCGTCAATCATCATCTTAAATTCTAGGGTTTGGATGAATAGAAAAATTGTTAACCCAGTTCAGTGAAGCTCCCGGGTCTTGATTAAATTGGGCTAGGGCTGGGCCGGGTTTTAAAAGAGTGGTATTACTCCTTAGCAGTTAAGTAATTGCTTCCCATAGCTACTTTGAATGCATTTCCTTCATGGTAAGTGAATTATTGTAAAGATTGTAAAGATTATACCATTCGCCATCTCGAGTATAAAGATTGTTCATGTCCAGGGAAGTCCTAGTTGGGATTGTGTATACCCTATGTGAGGTTATGAAACTCTTCATTGTTTACCTCTGCAAATTAATTGGTTTTAGTTATAGTCTGTTTCCATCACTATAGTGTGGCTTGAAGAACTGAGACTTCACGTCAAAACCTCTCATTTTCATAGGTCAAAATAAATATTTCTGTTACTCTCAAGAGAAATTAAACTAAACTGGCTCCTTGCCCCAGCAGGAAAATACATATGATTTAGACTTGCCGCCCTGAGATTATGTATTTAAGAAATTTATATAGTCGTAATCAGCAAGTTCCCATACGCTAAGTTGCTTCTCTGAATTCTTATCCTATTTGACAGTATGTTCAGTGAAATAATCTAAATTCGAAATCAATGAACACCAATTTACTAGTTACTTTTATCCCTTCCATGTGGAATATTTTAGTACGAGTTGGCAAACACCATATTTATAGAAGTATAGTTGGCTCCATAAATTCATCCAAAACAACGATTTGGCATAGTCAAACCTTTATTTGGGGCTCCTAGAATAGGATTATGGAATGTTAATGCCGCAACAGATAATTTTTTCCATCCTTCATCATATTAGCTCCATCTAGTTCAGGTTCGTATTTCTTTTTCCCAGAACTTGCTCCTTTATTTCTTTATAATCTGATAATGTTGTATACCTCTAAGTTAATCTTGTGAAAGAAGCATAACATTAGGTTCAATATCCGTCTTTGAATACAATTATTCTAAACTGAACGCAAATAAAAGTTACACTCTTAATTATTAGTTGGTATCAGAGTGTTTAAATTTCCCAATCAGGAATAGTTATGCTTTATTGCTTTTGTGCTATATGGTTATCAGTTAGGTGTTGTTATCTTGTTAAATAATCAATGCAACAGTGTGTGCCATACGCAAATATTTAAACGTTGTCTTTGTCTGTTCAATTATGCTCATAAGCCAATGATGTTAGGCTAATGTAAACTTGAACTCAGCTCATGATACTCAAAAGGGTCATTTCTGGAGAGTCGCCTTCAACTTCCAAAAATTTGTTGCAGCATGATGCAGACTTTGCAGACCCTGCTTCTTTTGTAAGTCTTTTCTTGAGAGCTTATCTTGTTTAATTCTTCAAGTGGTTGTGTTATTGTAATATGATGGGGCCTTAGCACAGGAAGTCTTTTCAATTTTTATAAATTTCTTGAATAGGATAAATAAGAAATTTTATTCGAAAATAATACATGGACTAGAATCAGTTAGCAAGAACATAAAAAAAAAACTAAAAACCATAGAAACCAAATGATCTCTAACTAATTTTATTGTTATATATCTAGTGATCCAGGAATCTGGGCAAACTGTATAAAATTAGAAAAAAAAAATGGAAAGGAGGGTTGTGGTAGAATGAATATATAAAGATTAACCCAATCCAATCAAACTATTTTTAGTGAACTTATCTGTTGAAGGGGAAGAAGAGGCCATATATAGGTTTTAGTCCCTTTTTTATATCGGTAGCTTGAGTGATAGTTTTGTTTGTGATTATTGGACATGCTAACTAACCTATAAATATAAATCAACAATTGTTACATCAATTTTTAGCCTGAAGGCCCTGTTCTTTTATTTATTTATTTTTTATAATCAACACCTGTCCAATAGATCATACCCAAAAAACTGTTTGGTTTACTCACTTTGTCATCATAAGGCACGATATTGACTGATCTGTTGAGTAGAACCATATAATTCCAAGCAAATGAAAAAGTGGAAACTTAAATATAAGCAAACTAGATTGCTGAGTTGGAGAAACATATATGCAACTGTACATTTATTTATTCACTCTTTCTCTTTTGCTTTGTTTGGCAATAGAAAGAAAGGTTAACTTTAAAGTACATGATATTGACATCAGAGTTTTATTCTACACACTATTTGTAGGTTTTCCAGGGTTCTAAAGCTAAGACAAAGAAGGTTATTTGTGCATAAGAGAGAGCAAAAACAGAAGAGAAAGAACTGATACAAAAACAGTCTACGTTTTTCATTCAAAACAGAGAAATATATGAACCTAATACATCACTGTTACAACTACTTTTCAGTATAAATAATCTTTAAGTATACTACAATTTGAACCACTCTTAACAAACACAAAATTCACTGAGATTTTGTGGCTTAATCACCAGCTGTCTTCACCTAAAACATCATTCAAATAACTTCCAAAAAAGGATGGGAACTGCACATGACACACATCCCTTTAATTCAACAACCTCGCCAAACTTACAAACCAACCATGCAAAATGATTCCAGCAAATATCATTTACTTCAACACTCCTCCTTGATATTTTTGCTGGAACTCCAAGTCTGAATCTTAATCTTCAAACTTGGATCGCCTAAGGGTTTGGTCATTATGTCACCACTTGCTCCCTCCCCTGCAATGAATCAGATTTACTTCACCATCTTGCTCTGCCTCTCTCACTGCATAATATTTGATTCTGATATGCTTTTTCGACCATGGAGTACTGGATCTTGGACATAGCATTGCTGATGGTTGTCACAGTGCAGCACATTTCCTTGAGTCTGTTCCAGCCTTAAGTCTTTCAAGACTCTTCTCAGCCAAACCAACTGGTTGACTGCAGCAGCAGCAGCTACATATTCAGCTTCACAGTGGATTGTGCTACCACCTCTGCTTTTTTGAATTCCAGCTTATGGCACCTGCATTCACAAAGAAAACATATCCAGAGGTGCTTTTCATGTCACCAAGGAGCCACCCCAATCACTGTCAGTGAAACCATGCAAACTGAATTTTCAGCTTCCTTAAACCATATTCCCAGGTCTGGACATCCTCTAATGTATCTGAGGACTTTTTTTGCTGCTTGCAAATGCAGCTCACTTGGTTCATTCATGAACCTAGAGAGTAAACTTGCTGCAAACATAATGTTGGCCTTGTTGCAGTCAAGTACAACAAGCCCCAACTATGCTTCTGTACTTAGTTTCATCAACCTTAGCAGCACATCATTTTTACACAGCTTCACATTTTGCATCAGAGTGTGTTGACAGGTTTGCAGTTCTCCATTGCAAATTTTTTGATAAGTTCATTAGCATACCTCTCTTGGGAATAAATATCCCATAAGGAGACTGCCATACTTCCATTCCCAAAAAGAAACTCATCTCCCCTAAATCAGTCATCTCAAATTCCTTGTGCAGCTCTTTCTTGAAATCCAGCAGCCTAGTGGAGTCAGTCCCTATCACCAGAAGGTCATCAACATACAAGATATAAATATCCTTTCATCATCAACCTCTCTAACATATAGGGTGTGCTCATTTGGACTTCTTTCAAACCCCAACTCATCAAGAACTTATTGATTCTGCTGTACCAGGCCCTAGGGGCCTGTTTTAATCCATAAAGAGCCTTCTAAGGAGATACACTTTATCCTCTTGCCCTTCAACCGTATACCCTTCAACCGTATACCCTCAGGTTGCTCCACAAAGATCTCTTCATTAAGCCACCCATTCAAGAAAGCAGATTTCACATCCTTTGGAAGACTTTCCACTTGAATTGGCTGCAGTTGCAGTGAGATTCTGATGGTGTCATGCCTTGCAACTGGTGCAAAGTGTCAGTGGGAGATTGTTAGAGTAGATGCCCTAGAGCCAATCAATTATTGTAAATTGACCTTTGTAATAATGTTCATATCAATAACAAAGGCATTTTATTCTATATCGCGTAATCATTATTTGCATATTATATGATATATGTCCTTAGAGGGTAGAACCGGGACGAGGGTACAAGTGTTTCAAATCTTGATAGTGAAACCCTATGAGCACATACGGTGGCCATTCTAGAAACGTCCGTAGCCCCAGTTTTCTGAGTAGGGCACAAATAATACGATAAGGCTATCATAGTGTTGAACGACCCTGTCAAAAGGCAGTGACTGATCTCACTTGTCAAGTTGTTTGGTGACACCTGGTGCAACACATGGTGTGCTTGTTGTAGGCGGATATACCGCAGCAAATTCACTGGATCACCCACCAGAGGATTCCATATGGATGGTAACCCTAGTGTCTATAACAAATCCTCTAACGAATGGTGGTGCATGTAATCCTTAGACTTGAATCACCGGAGCACCTTGTGCACCGATTGTATAGTGGACACTAGCCTAACGCAGTTCTATTCAAAGCTGTCAGTACGGTGGTGATGGGCTATATCAAGGAGTGTATCAAGACTATGGGGATTGACAAGGATTCATCACTCCCGAGTACGAGATTTATCTCACGGCAATTCAGTATATAGCAATGAACACTAAACTGTGGCCACAGTGGGATTGGTTGTTGCTCTATCCAGATTATAATACGGGTCATTGGTCCAGAAACTGAATATATATCGAGAGTAACCGAAGGTTGACACTATTTCTATGCCTTCGTCTCGTCGAGATAACGTATGATGAAAGGATCGAATTGTACGGTAACCATATCGTTGACAGGTAGCTACTTTGCCGAATCCGAATCTATCGGGTGCCATGATCCTTGCTAGGGGCCAATCTTGGTCTATGTATAATGTGAGACATTAATTGGTGTTAATCACATATTATACACTACCGGTAGATGAGGACCTATGGGTCACACACATAGATAATTTAAGACTCAGGAGAAAAGAAGGGCGTTTTCGTCTTTTTGGCGAAGGTGTATTTGGTAATTTCACAGTGCAATTAAATTTGCTGAGGTCGTAGCCTTTATTTAATTTTTTAGAAAAAATAAATAAGTGAAATTCTGTTTAAATATATGTTCGCATATATTTAATAAATTATCATTATTGTTAAATGTTAATATATATTTAATATATATTAATTGATTTTAATTGAAATAATGATGAAATATAAAATATCTAATTTGGGAGTGTTTGGCAACATGGGGTGTTTGGGTTGGAGCCCAAGCCCATTCCATGTGGAATAGGGCAACTTAGTTTGCCTATAAAAGAAATGTGTGTGTGGAAATTAAAAAAAGTTTTTTTAGTTCTTTTCAATTAAAACAAACACACACAGCCCCCATTTTGACTCTCCCACGCCACTTTCACTGTTTGATTGAAAATCAACTTTCTTTTGTTCTTCTGATTCTAAGGCCAAGGAGGATCTAGCAAATCCCTCCTTGTTTTCTGGGTGTTGTCTTCGTGTAGACTTCTTGGTTCGATCCTATACTTGATCGGTAGCAAACACGTTCAGAGACAATATTGGTGGAGCCTCCAACGTGGGTATGGTTTCTCAAACTTGAACTAATTTCTACAGATTTGTTTATTTTATATAAACTGTGATTTTTGTACCCGAATCTTGGTTCAAGGAACGATCATAAGAGTTTATGTTTTGTTTTTTCCGCTGCGTAACTGGGTTGTTTACAACAAGTCCACCCCAAACTGCTGTTGCATAACCTTTCACTACAAGCCTTGCCTTGTGTCGTTAACTGAACCATCAGGATTCAGTTTCTTCTTATAAATCCATTTCACCTTATGATTTTTCTTCCGATAGGTCTGGTTACAAGTTCCCAGGTTGCATTCTTCTCTATCATGTCAAATTCTTCATCCATTGTTGTCCTCCACTCTTTAACTTGGGCTACTTTAGCATAACATGATGGTTCCATCAAGGCCAAGTTGCATCTGTCATAAATTTCAGCCAAAGGTCTAGTCCCCTGACTGGAGAATCAGCTTCAGAATCAAAACTGAAATATGGAGCATCCTAAGTAGCTATCAAGTCTCCTCCTTGTTCTGCATATTACTTCTTCAATCTCATTCTGTCCCATTCCACAGCCCTCTTCATCTACCTTTACATCATGGTTAACCAGGAATTTTTTGTTCTTAGATTGTAAATCCTATATGCTTTGGATAAGCTGCTATAACCAACAAAAATTCCAGTTTCAGCCTTCTCATCCAGCTTACTCCTCTTGTTGGCTGGAATGTGAGCATAACAAATGCTTCCAAACACTTTGAGGTGGTTGATGCTTGGCTTTACTCCATACCAAGCCTCAAATGGTGTTTTGTTATCCAAGGCTTTAGTTGGCAGCCTGTTGAGTAGATAGACTGCTGTATTCACAGCTTCAGCCCAGAAAAATTTGGGCAGTTTTTTCTCAAACAGCATACATCTTGCCATTTCCATTGCTGTTCTATTTTTTCTTTCACTCACACCATTTTACTGTGGTGTGTAAGGGGAGCTCAGTTGGTGCTTTATTCCAAACCCTGCACACAGTTCTTGAAATTGATTTGAGGTATACTCTGAACCATTGTCACTCTAGATTGTTTTCAAACTCAAACCAGTTTCATTTTCCACCATTTGCTTAAACCCCTTAAACATTGCAGCCAACTCACCTTTTTGTTTCAGGAAGTAGACCCAACACAGCCTGGTGAAATCATCTATAAACAGTAGAAAATACCTGCTGCCATTCAGAGAGGGCACCTGCATTGGACCACACACATCTGTGTGTATAAGCTGAAGCTTTTCAGCAACTCTCCAGGATTGTTTTGCTGGAAATGGCTGCCTATTGATTTTTCCCAGTTGGCAAACTTGACATACCCCTTCCTTCTCCTCAATTTCGGGCATACACTGAACAAGTTCTCTCCTCCTCATTTCCTTAAGACCTGAATAATGATAATGCCCAAGTCTTTTGTGCCAAGTTTCAGTTTCAACACATTTTGTAGACAAGGCATGCAAGGCTGAGTTTTTCCATTCAATTGGAAAGCTTTTTCCTAGCATTTTCACATTCATTAATTCATTCCCTACGTTGTCAACTACAATGCAAGACATATTTTGAAAATGTAGGGAGTAGTTCTTTTCTAGCATTTGACCTACACTCAGCAAGCTTTGGTTGATTTTGGGTACATAAAGAACATTTGCAATATATTTGGTGCCTAATGTAGTTGGGACAGCAACCTTACCTCTCCCTTTGACTTCCACAAATTCTCCATTGCCAATCTTGACTTTGGAGTGAAAGAATCTATCAATGCTCACAAAACTTGACAGATTTGGAGTCATGTGGTT